CACCGCACGCCGCCGCCAGCTGACGGCGCTCCTGGCCGCGCTGCCCAGGCAGCCCACTCGGAGTTCGGAGCGGCATGGTGGGGAAGCGGGCCAGGGGCGCTGCCTGCCCTGCTGCCTACACCCACCCACCCGCCCGCAGATTTCTTCACTCCTCAGCGTTAACTAGGCTTTAAATACTAGTTTTCTTAATGAGGGTTGCGGGGGAGGGAATCGGTGGAAGGAAAGATCGAGTGCCTGAAATGGGGAATGACAGCCTGGAACAGCAGAGCGGCCCGGCAGCAGGGATGGAGGTCCCGGATCCGTGGCACAGGCGCTCATTCATGGAGCTGCAACCTCCGCCCGGCTGTCTTCGCAGCGCATGCCGCCCTTTCCCCTTGCTTGCACCCAGAGAATCCGAAGGAGGTTTACGCCTGCTGCCCCGGGGCTTCACCTGTTCCCTTCTTTGCTGGGACTCCCCGAGACGTGCCTAGGAATCTGGAGTAGCAGTTTGTTGGGCAGGGAGTTCTTGGCCCTGCTTCTAATTAGAAGGGACCCTGGGGCATTTGGCAAACCCCAGTGAGGGAGAAGCAGACTAGGTCAGGCTTTTCGCACCCCAAAAAATGTCTGCTGCCTTCTCTGTGTAGTGGGGGTGGGGTGATCTGTGGCTAAGCCCTGGGAAGTCCGTTAAGTAGCTTAAACCTTGTTAACTATGCCATGGAATTCTTCAGGTCCTGGAAACAGTTCTGTGGTAAGCAAACTGGAGTACCCATTCTTTACCGAGACCTTTTTTATTATGCATTTGCAGCCATAATATTTATTGAATATTACTATGTATTGAACTGTTACTCTGTGTGTACCACTCACTCATTTTATAAACAGGTTAAGGATGTTGTAGAGTCACATAGTAGGTGGTAGAGCCGGGCTTTGAACCCTGGCAGAGCTTAGAGTCCAGAAACTTGGGCATGGACGTGATTCCCCTGAGTTTCTCCCGTGGGATGAGAACCCAGGTAGTGTTCACCTGCTTCTTCAGCAGTCATGTGTTGGGATGTTTACCCCCTCTGCTGTCCACCTACTGAGAACTTACCTGCTCCTATTTAACCTTCATATGGGAGAAGGAATTCTCACAGTGGTCACCATTTTACAGATGAAGCTCAGGCAGGCAAATAGTAAACTCAGGGTCATACAACCAGAACGTGACAAAGCCAGCATTTCAGGCCAGGTCTTCAGCCCCTGAGCCCAGGTTTTTGTCACTATAACAAAGACACCCAGTATCTCTAGTCTGCAGTGAGTAAATGGAGGGAAGGTAGGGGGAAAGACTTCGTGAAAGTTTGGTGAAGGGCTTAAAAAAAAAAAAAAAAACGCTGCTGTAGAGTTGATTGTGACTCATAGCGATCCCTCCTTCAGTTTCTGAGGCGGTATCTCTATGGAAGTAGATTGCCCAATCTTCCTTCCAAGGAGGACTTGGTGGGTTTGAACCACCAACCTTCTGGTGAACAGTCTATGTCTTAGGCACTACACCACCAGAGCTCCCAGTGAAGGACTTGTTGTTATGTGCCATCGAGTCGGACCTGACTCATAGCGACCAACCCCTTCTTGGGTTTCTGAGACAGTATCACTATGGAAATAGATTGCCCAACCTTCCGAGGAGTGACTGGTAGGTTTGAACCGCTAGCCTTCTGGTTAGCAGTCAAGTGCCTTAGGCACTATGCTACCAGAGCTCCCAGTGAAGGGCTTAAGAGAGAGAAATAAGATGAAGGGTGGGAATGATGGGCCTCTAAATAGACTCGTTCAACTTGTTTCTGTCACCATAACTAATCAAAAACAGAAATGAGAGAGATGGAGGAAGTCAAACTCTGACACTAAATGTTAGTTCCATCTGGGCTCTGGAGAGGGAGCTCTGGTGGTGCAGTGGTTAAAGCATTCGGCTTCTAACCAGAAAGTCAGCATTTCAAACTCACCAGCCCCTAGTGGGAGAAAGATGAGGCAGTCTGTGCCTATAAAGATTTACAGCCTTGGAAACCCCATGGAGCAGTCCAACTCTGTCCTGTAGGGTGGCTATGAGTTGGCGTGAACTCAGTGGCAGTGGTGTTATGGTTTGGAGGCTCTGGGGTAGCTCGTTTTGTTCTGTCCCAAAAGGAAGCATCTATAGGGCCTCCGTTCTAAGCAGGACATTACCTTCTTGTAGGCCCATGATATGTGGACCTAGCCTGACAGGAATTTGTGGAGGAAGATCATAAGCTTCCCAGAGAGAGGTTCTCTCCTCACCACACTTGGCACTGAGCTGGTAGAGTAGTCTGGTGCCAGAGAAGACCCTGACCAGGGTCTGGCTGCCACACCTGAGTATGGCTGGCTGCCTGTTCTCCAGCCACAGAGGGGCTGTGCCTGGCCTGATTTCCTGCTGGAGTAGGCAAACTAGGCCCCATCTGCTCAGCTCCAGACTCAGCAAATGAAAGGTTCTGCCTCTGGACTGTGAGAGTGGGTAAAAGCGTGGACGGACTTGGGCCAAACTGGTGCTTAGTGGTGGCCTCTCAAGTGAATATTTGTGGCAGATGTTGATGAAGCTGAATACACCCAGCCCTCCCTGTGCAGTGTGGGGAGTGCTAGCTCCTTGCAGCCCCCTGGTTCTGAGTGGTGCCACCAAGGAATGAAGAGGGAAGAGGATGAGAAGAGAAAACGCTGGGTTCGGAGTGAGTGCACTTACTATGCCCAGAGAAGCTGCTGTGATCAAGTCAGAAAGAGCTGAAAGAGCCACCAGAGATTGGGCAAGGCTGGCGTCGGCAGCTTTGAATTGCAGAATGAGCCCTGCACTGAGATGGGAGGCCTGAGTTCTGGTCCCCTTTCTGCCACTGAGTAGACATGTGACAAATCTTAAAGCAGCTCTAAACACTGGTTTCTTCATCTATAAAATGAAGGAAATGGACTAGAAATTCCTTCTAGCTCTCATAGTCAATGATTCCCACCCCTTCTCAGATAGGTAAATTTGTGAAGAAAGTTGATCCTTTGGAGTTTTGTGGTAGTTAAGTTTGTATGTCAACTTGGCTGGGCCTGGTTGAGTGGCTGGGCAGCTGGATGTAGTATTCCCCATGATGAGACTGGTAATCAGCTCCATGGTGGAATCTATTATGCGCAGCTGAGTAGCTGCCTTAGGGATGTGGTCTGCTTCCTATATGTAAGGAGAAGCCTTGGGGAATGGTCTCTAGCTTATGGCAAGCTTGAACTCTGCATGTAGCCGAGTCTTGTTCAGCAGCCTACCATGCTCTGCCAATCTTGGGATTTTTAATGGACTTGAATTAATGGCTTGCTGTGTGGTTTGGTAATATCAGGACTGTGCCTTGTTACTTGTCAACCTTGGGTTTGTCAGTCTCAGCAGCCAGCAGCTGAGTGAAGAAAAGCCTTCAGCTTCAGTGGGCCGGGAACAGGAGGCAGAGCTGAAGGCCAAAGTTGAGAGGCTTTCACCCAGCCTTTAGAGCCTGGCACTTTGAACTCAAACTTAAAGCCTCCAAATTGT